AGAGAGAGAGAGAGAGAGAGAGAGAGAGAGAGAGAGAGAGAGAGAGAGAGAGAGAGAGAGAGAGAGAAACAAAGAGAAAGAAGGAGGAAGGACAAGCAATTTCGAATCGGTCGGCATTTTGGAATAATCCCGAGCATGGGAAAATCAAGAAACGATGATCAAGATCGCAATTTAGCGTGGACACATGCGACATTGTTTCTCAACGTTTTATTCGTTTGTATACACTTATAGGCCCTAATTAGGCGTGAGCTAGTCCATTCCCAACTTCAATTAACAATTCAATTTTCAATAATAAACGGACCACGATCGGTAAGCCGCATCGTGATTGTCGTGACATACGTGTAGGATCGAGGCGTCCGACAGGATTATGGCAGAGAGTGATAACATGTGTGCGGCTTCAATGGATATGTGGTTGACCGCGCACTGCGGCAAATCACGTTGTTGTTTTCCTCGACAGTTACGAACGAAAGTTCACTTGGCATGTGCCAAGAGACACGCGTTAGTTCCTATCTCGTCCGGTGAGATAAAGCTCTTCTGTCTCGTTGTTGTTGTTACGTTGTGATTGTTGCCGAATCGTGTGTTCACAGAGTCAAATATGCCAGCTAATAGATTATTCACGTTAGCCACGTTGTGTCCTCGGCAGATACCTCGAGTCTACGCACATACAGTGTTAATAATATCTGTACACGTAATTGTTTCGCCTACCTAAGCTAGCTAATGCAAATAGGCCGTGTAACGCGATTCCGGCGTGGATCGTCGCCGGTGATCCGACAACGCTGGTATCTTTATCTATCCTTCATCTTGTGGCTAGAGTGACTACCTCTTCGGAATATCACGCTAAGTCTCTGGATTTTAATCACTGTTTCTTACGGATGGGCAAAATTCTGTATTTGCAAAATAGTAATAGTAAATTTATATGCTAAAAAGTAACAGACACAAGGGAACACGAGGTGAAAACTAATAATAAGATGTATAAGATTGATATAAATTTGAAATTAATTTAAATATGACTCTCAATCTGTTTACAATCTCATTCTTCCTACACATTGTTAGTTATTGTAGTGATAATTTCAACACAAATCAAATTTTCTCGACTATATTTTTTGATTTATTAACTCCTTTTTCAATTTCTGGGTTATCCCATAGGTGATTATCCTAATCGCAGCCCGCAAATAAACACAGGTAGTCACTCGAATAACGGGATTAGATCCCAAGAAACGAACGTCATCGTATCGATTTCCTAATTCGCCATACACTGAATAGCGTCTCAGTCGTGCAGTATCGTTCTTTAAATTAGAAAAATATTTGTGCTTCTACGTAGGAAGTCATTCTCTTTTCCTCGAGTCGGCTCATCAGTTCGTGCAAGTAATAATTCATCGAAATTCCTCACGGTTTAGCCGACAATAAAACGCTACTTAGACGTCTTCTCATTATTTGAAAGATCGCTCGATATTTCGCAAGAGCCGAATTTTCCTCCCCTCTATTTTCTCCCATTTCTCTAATTAGTAACGTTTATTTAAAGCACTTCGTGCGATTTTGCGCGCTGCACGGCCTCGGTTTAAAACACACGTATATAATTTATATACATTAGTCCATTATGGTTTCATTATATTTATAATTTGTATATATATTCTTTTTGTCTTGTATTTTTTTTTATTTATACATGTACGTGGAAGTCAAAAATTAATAAAGTTAAAAAAATATAATCTTCAAAATAGAAACTATAACCGTCTTTCTCTTCAGCTACGGCGCTATTGTGTCACTTATGAGTTTCTTATTTCTTTCGAAAACGCATCGAACATTACTTCTTTTTTTTGTATATATGCTCTATCAGTGCATACTGCTGTTTATCGGCGCGGAATCCTCGGCACGTCCGTCTCGTGGGAATTGCATGACCATCTCTCGCTCGTTTTCCACGCCATTCCCAGGAGACGGCGAGGCGCTCGGAAAATTATCGATTGAGCGTATCATTATCTCTCATAAGTTTCCTAACGACTTTCCCGAAAATCGACCTATCACATTCAAGTAAATGCAAAATGACTGAAAACTGGTACAAGGAGAAATGTTCTCGTTCCTATCCTGCGGTGAGTTTATCGCGGTTTCTCTCTTTTTTTTTTTTTTTTTTCTTAATGGTCTTTATCGCCCATTAGATGCCTTAGAAATTATTTCGCGGGTTATGAGCCTCTCGGAGTATCTCCGACGAATTTCGCGGTAGATTCACGTAGATACCATAAGAGTTTAAGTTTAATACACGAAAAGTCACAAATGGTTAATTTGGTATACGATTCGAATTTTATATCCTTAACTATCCCTTAAATATTCCGTACACAGATAGGTGACCCTCAGATTTCTCGTCTTCTTAGTCGTTCCGCAACACGATAATCATAACTGATGCGCTTCCTTTCTTGCGGAGAGGGTCGCTTAGCGTATCAAATCGATAATAATTCCTCGATATTCATTGGCCAGTAGCAATCTCGCCATTTAATCCTATGGAATATACTTTAACATACGTACACACGTTACGGATGCGGAACGGGCAACCTTTATTCTTCCGAGCAAACAATTGGCAATACAAGCAGACTGCGAAACTAGAAGTTTACCTCCAACTCACAAATATTTAACTTACAAATAAACAATTGCTATTTACAAGGACAGTCAAAATATTGATCACGAGCAAGTAATATTTACACGGGTAAACAAAATCGATCGAACACCGAGGAATCTCTGTCATAAATATTTCGAGGTATATTTACGAGTAAAGACGATCGAAGAGAGAGTGAGAGTGAGAGAGAGAGAGAGAGAGAGAGAGAGAGAGAGAGAGAGAGATGCCTTAGTCGTTCCTTAATTACATACAATAATCAAGGATTACGTCTAAAATCTTATCACATTGAACTAAATGCAGGATCGAACCACGCGTTACAGTAAAGTCCTGTCTCGTTAATTGTAGCGTGACGTGAGAGCGATTTGTCGTTACAAAACGTGTATACGCAACGTAAATGAGCGTGACGATCGTGATAATATATCGTTTATTGTACTCGTGTTTCTGGTGAGTGTGCCTAAGTAGATTTGTGATCACTTCAGCAACGGATTGAGTGAGTTCCATCTTAACGACGATGTGCGAATTACGTGTATGTGTATATGTTGTGTGTTGTGTGTGTGTGTGTGTGTGTGTGCGCGTGTATGTATGTGTAGATGCGATACGCTTAAAATGACATATATTCCGTGTGACAGCTTAACTGTAAGATCACATAACTATGATTCTTCTTCTTTGACTGTCGAAGATATTGAGTAAAATCCACGCGATGATTTAGCAGTAAGTGCAATTGTTCACGTAACGTTTCTCAGAGCTCGGGACTTTCCGCCTAACGTTCACCTCTGTCTCTCAATTCAGCGACAAGAAACAACTTCGATTCTAAATCACAAATTTTTCATACCACCGGAGTGTTTTCGTGTCTCGCGTGGCTAGCTGATTCCACGAACGCGTAGACAGGATGAGCGGCTCCTGACATCTAATCGCTTGTCGATGTAACAGCCCCTATATTTCTATCGGTAAACAATGCAATTGCGAATCCTGAAGCGTCGGGAGAGCAACCTTAGTCGAATCTCCTCGAGTATGCCGTGAGGTTATTTCAAGTGCACATTTGCTCAAAATAACAGACGTGCGAGATTAATTTTGCGGAATATGAAACGCCATCGATCTGGCGAAAGATTGAAGTCACGTTGGACACCGGAGAAATTATATCCACTGGCACAACTGATCATCTTACAAACAGTGAACAGTGCTGGGTCAACTCGTTATCTCCGTTACGTAAAGAACGTGAAATAACGTCGCTCTAATCGCGACGCGTACCGCCACAACTTTATCTTGTGCGTGTTCTGTTTTATCAATAAAAAAAAAAATATATACAAAAAAAGCAAAGCTTAAACTGACCGGAGCTGATTTCGCGGAAAATGTTAATATTTTCGTTCACTTGAAATATCGTGTTTATAAATGCGCGATTTATTCCGATGGCGGTGCATGAATGCGTATAAATCCTTCCTCATAATAGCGTTAATATATGTAACTCACGTTCGTGGCACTGCGTGTATACACAGCTTTGACGAAACAGTCAATTACACGAAACGATTTTGTTGTCCGTGTGCGCGGGTGTGTGTGTCTCTCCGAGCTTTTATATAAATCACTTCGTATTGTACTTTTAGCGAAACATGCGTTTCAATGGATTTAGCGACAATGAAACTACGCTACCGTGGCGGATAATTTGAATTAATTCAACGTGAGTTACATACGTACGCGTTGTGCATTCCCGATGCAATGTCGTCGAAACGTTGGGAAATATTTTGCAAAATATGATACACTTTGTCGCACGATAGATAGATATCGCCGAGTGCCCCGCGAGCGCGGATATCGATTCAACAACCGATAGCACGCTCGTCAAACATCACTTTTAATTAAATAGGGCTGGAAAGCTGGTCGTCCGTCGTAGCTGGCAGTACGGCTACTTTTTTTTTTGTACGCAGGTAGAGCTCGATTTTGGCGTCAGTAGGTCGGAAAGCGCGTCGCTCGCTGCTTCTTCGAGATGCCGCTCTAGAAATATGTCGACGACGTGTATACATAACACCTTATCGTGTACATCATAGAAAGTTTAGCAAATTGATGGCCGAATTAAGGAGAGACTTCTTCCGACTTGTCGCAAAAATTCGCGGGGTAACAACTGATCAATCTTAAGGCGCGTCGCTCGACTCCCGTAGTGAAAAATTTTCGAAAGGTTTTCTCAAAGGGATAAGACTATTTGTTGCGTTTATCGAGGGATTTTCTAAATTTCTTCCTTCTTCTTGGAGAGGAAGGATCTCCTTAACTTGCCGGTGTGCGAGGTGCACACTTTTCCTCCGTGCTGTATGCGCGGTTCGTAAGCTCGCGCACGTCATTCGCGGGGCTGTGTGCATCCGCGTCGTCTCGCGGTTTCCTCAAATCCGTCTCAGTCGTAAGTATTGCGCATTTATAACAAACAACGAAACTTTCGCGCAATTTTTCTTTGTAACAGGCGTATAACTTTATACGAAACTTTCGCGCGACTCGACCGACCGGCGACGTCACCGTCGTCGTCGTCGTCGTCGTCGTCGTCGTCGTCGTCGTCGTCGTCGCAGTGATTGTGCTCTGATCGTCCGCGGCTGCGCCACAGATGCTACAAACTTAACTGGTCCATCGTCAATTTACCGTAACAAACTTGTAAGTCGGATTGCTTAACAAAGACGCGTCGCTTGGAATGATTGTAGCGATGCGACTCGAGATCCTCGCTCGGAGATCCGTCGTGTTCGCCGGGGAGAATCCATCTCGATGCGACCACGAGCGCCCTTTGGCGGGAAGTAAATTTTGCGCGGATTTTTCAGATTATCGGGGTGTTTGTTTTCATTCCGCGATCTCTACGTATACTCTAATCAGCTGGCTCGATCGGCAAAAAACGAGAGTTCTTGCATCTTGCTTGTGTACTCAACCTTCAACTCTTCGACGTGGAAGACCCTAAACCTAGTTGTTGTGTGTCTGTTTGTGTATGTGTTCGTTTGTTGTGTTGTGTGTGTGTGTGTGTGTGTGTATGTGTGTGTATGGTAAAAATAGGCAAGTCCTTAGACGCGCGCGCGCTTACATACGAATGCGCCGTTTCCTCGCCACCAAGATTACTCCTTCTCCTCGGTCTCCTGACTCTCCACGCCCAGCAGGGTCGATTTGTCTTCCTCGTGCTCCTCGACTTCCGGTTCCTCGATGTCTCGTCGTTGGCGTTTCGACACCTTACGTTGCGCGTGGAATATCAGGAAGACAACAGCGCTCGCCAAAGCTGCCAGTCCCGCGAACAGGACGTAAAGCAACATTGGAATTTGTATCGGGCCCTGGGAATTCGACAAAGGCGTTGGAAAAGTCGCACAATAATGTCTTTAATCTCACAAGCATCTTTAATAATTCAATTATTTTTTAATAATTTCACGATGTATTAATATACATGTCCCAGATTCTCTTCCGCAATTTTTGTGAGAATATAGAATGGATTGAGGTGAACATAAAAATCCCGTTTAATAATATGCGCAATAATAATGGAGATGTTAATTAAAAAAGATTGGTGAATAATTACGCGTGATATAATAGATGAGCTGTAGTGGCGATGTATGCTGTTGCTAGTATATTAAGTTAAATTGAACAAAAAAGTCCGTTTTTTTTGGAAATACCACGTAGATTTTTAGTTATTAATAAAAGAAAATTGTTACATAATTGTGCGCGATAATTCACAAATCTTCCTTTTAATATTAATATCTAAAAATCTATGTAGTCATTTGCAAAATGATAAAGGACTGTTTTGTTCAGTTTGACCCAATGTATAAATATATAACTGCAGACGACACCATTAGAGCTCATCTATCGTATCGCGGGTGATCATTCACTAATTAATTCTTTAATTAGTATCTCGAAATTTATTGCGAATGTCGCAAAACTTTTATATTCTTTCATATTCACTAATTCGTTCTACGTTCCCAAAAAAATTGCGGAGAAGAGTCTAGAACACCTTGTATACATTTTTGTCGCATCTCAAGGCGGTTTTTTTTCTCAGCTATTTCTGTACCAAAGAAACGTTTCACTCGAGAGTCAATCAAATCGATCAAGCAGTGCGCTTAATTCCTGAGAGGACATTAAGGAGCTTATTCGCTTAAACTAAAATGCTTAAAATTATACCAAAATTTCACGTGATATTTATCGCGGTAAAACACATGCGCAGTTGAGATTCCATGCAACATATCTGTACCGTCTGTGAGAAATTTAATACTGAATATTTCGCAGTCTAACACACATATAACATGATGGTAGAAATAATATAGGGGACCATTATTTCTGTGTAAATTCGTAAAAAAATGATACCATCCCAATAAAACATTTATCGTTATAAATGTTACACGGAAAAAAAGGTTTGTTTGGATTAACCAGAGAGTATGGCCAAATTTCACCTCTTTTTTGTGAAATTTTATAAAACTTTGAATATCCCAATCAAATTGCAACCTCTTGGACTGTTATCTCTCAAACGACTATAAGAATAATATCGTGATTTTATATTCTTAATCTACTCGATATAAGCTTCAAATCAATGTATCATTAATTGGGATGTTCAAAATTTTTTGAAAAAAGAGCGATATGTCTGTAGATGCTTGGCCACACTTTTTCTGATGAAATATTATCGAACTAGAAATTCTGATCGAAATTACCAGAATTCTGTATAAGTCAACAAGATTTCTGGTTACCTTGAATAGAATTCTTCAACTGGAATTTTCTGGTTTGTTCGTATCTCACCACAGAAATTCGTCAATCCAGCCAAACATATTTTTCCGTGTACATGCTAGGAAACACGGTATGAAAGAAAGAATAGTATACACTACGCCGTTTTTTGCGTAAAGGTCGATTGTAGGCCAGAGAACTACCGTTTTATGCTTTCTCTCTTAAAGTGTATCAGTGAATAGTCATTGATATCAGTTATAAGTTTATAAGTATAGCACTGAGCAGTTTCAGTGCTGTACTTATAGGTGCGTCAGTATATATTTACTGCTTTCAATGATGTTTCACTGATTCACTTTAAGAGAGTTGAGTAGCATTGCACTGAATGAAATGTGGCAAGGTAGTATCATGAGATTAGTTTTAAATTGACATTTATTATTTGGATAGCGAAATAAACATGTAAGAACGTAATTTTATTAGATAAATAGTGAATTTATGAGTAGCTTCCTTGATGCGTCACAGAAAATGCGCTCCTTGGACATCTCGGAGTAATTCACACCTGGCGAATAAATCTCTTTGATTTTGTGTCTCGAATACACTTTCTCGAATATAATAAGATATTCACTGCACCGTGCGAGCTCCTCGGGAGTTTTCGTGAGATTTCACAGTGCGTTTTTCCGTGCGGCGCTAAAACGAGCGGCGTGAATGGTAATATTGAAAGATGGAGAGACTTTGTTTATATTGCGCGATGACGCGCATGCGAAAACAATTGCACGTGCGCACGTATCGTCGAAAAAACAAATGGCTCGTCTCGACACCCATCAATCGTCCGCTCGGAAAGTTCCGTCGTGCGCGAAACACGAGCTCCCATCCCCCACGTTTGCCCGCGTTATCGTTTTTTACAGTTTAAATAAAATGAAACTTCCTTTTTCACAAACAGATAGCCGTTCTGCCGTAATGGCAGTCGAGGAAGCACTGAAAAGTGTCTATTTAAAGATGCAAACTGGGTCGGCTAAGTCGAATCGTACTTTACCACGCTCGAACTGGGTCGCGTGTTTTGGGCGTCTTTTACGTCCCACCGACTTAGAAGAATTCCTGTCCTTTTCTCCCGACGAAATTTTTCGGATTATCTCTTGTCGCCGTGATCTCAGTGCGATCCTTCTCGCGAGTATCGTTGCGAATATCAAATGGGCACACGTCGCGATTGATTGCGCGCCGACCGCTTTAATTCCGAGCAGTTAGGTCAAACGTCAGTGTATGGCATCGCGTGACCGTTGCGATACGTTTCCTTCAGCCCTTGTTGGCCATCGGCGCAATAACCTGCTTGAAATTCTGATTTGAGCATCGCGTAATGCACGGAATTCACGATAGTGTTCCGCTTAATGCCGTCGGGTCACCGTCTGAGCGGCCATTTACGCTCGTCCTTCGTGGAATTCGTCGTCTTAATATTTCGATGGCGCGAGAGGCATAGTAATCCATTGCGCATTATTCGAAATCTTGAATGAATGAATTAAATATACGAATATCTTGGTCTGAAAGCGCACCCTTGCTATCATGATCTCTTTGACTTGATGCGAAAATAAATTCGTGTGGCCGACTTCATAAACGCAAGACACGAGAGAAAGGACGGTGAAAATGGTTTTTCGCAATTTGTAGATGCACCTTATAGAAATAAATACAATAATGACGGGCTCTCTCAGTCACCAAATAAAACGAGTTAATAAGAGTCGACACAGGATGTAAAGGAAAATGAGAAACTTCAATTCGGGTAACTAAGTGGGAGACCAGACGAAAAACTCACTGACGAGAAATAATGTCTCTGTTACTGTGATCGTAAACGTTCCTCTGAACGTTCAATTGCATTAAAACTCGGTTGAGGTAAGTGAGAGCAATTGGCTGAGTAGAAACCTCCTACAGGAATCTTTTTGTTCCCATAACTGAGTTTTTATTTGCTCCCCAAATAACACAAAATTTAGTTACACTAACGGGGTTGTTTTTCTGTGTAAATTGCGAAATAATTTTTCTTGTACACGGAAATAAAAGATATGACGCGCATAGACTGAAATATTTAGTTATGAGCAACGTTGCATCACTCTAGTTATCTTTGGGTGTTGATAACATGTATGATTGATATGACTCAGTTATTTTCGTGTATCAACTGTACGAGAAATGCAATATGGTTGTCCCACAGATAAATCTGGTTGTAGCAACCAAATTCAATACTGAGTTTGGCTGACACAAGCGGATTTATGTGTAGGCCAACCACACTGTTTCTTTTCATGCGCGTGATCTGATTGCGGCAATCAGAAATCGTTTGATGTGACATTTACCACACGGAAAAAATAACTCCATCAGTATAACTGAATTTTCTGTTACTTGAGAAATAGATGAAAAACTCGGTTATGGAAACAGAAAGATTCCTGTAAGATGGGTTTCTACACTGAGAGAAAAGACTGATCACTATAACAAACTGCATTTAGTTACAGAAATTCATTGAATCCTTAGTAACTAATACTAAATATGATAATAATTACCAAATATTTAATAGATCGGGAGTATGACGTAATTGCATTCACAGTAACATCAATTAAATAATTTAGTAATAGTTACTTAATGTTAAATATTTAATATGAAATATATTATGAGCAGATATTTGATAATTGTTATGAAATTGTTATATCCCATGTAATAAAAAATTCAGTAGGTACGAGTTCTATTTTGTTACCAGTATAAGTATGTTTTATTGCAGCACAACGAAAAATTCATTCATTTGCAGCTATTACATCGTTTCAATATCTATTATTACAGATGGTTGGTTGAACCTACCAAAAATTTTGTAACTACTACAAAATCTCTTATTTTGCTCAACTATTCAATAAGTTTTATTTACCAAATATATTCTGGAAGCAAATAAATTTTACTTCTGTCAAATAAATAATTTATTTTACAGAATTAAATTAATTAATAGGTATTGTCATAGCTTTGGCCCGCTATATTTACGTCTACCATTTAGTAATAGTAACCAAATTTTGATAATATTTACTAAATTCTTCTCTCAGTGTACTAACAATACTATAGATACTATCGAGATGTTCTGAGCGATTTTAATTCCTACCCTGTTTCCTTCAGTTTTGCTGAGAAAAGTGTTAATAATCGGTCTTAGTTAGAGGATGCTAAAGTTAGAAAAAAATATTCCTTTATAATATAGTGCTTGTACTGAGCTCAAACAAAAGATTTCATCGAGTAGATTTAGAATATATACATCTATAGTTTATAGTTCATGAGATAGAAGGCGTCATAGATCAATTATTAACCCTTATAATGCCGAACAACGATATATCGTTGTTACACTGAAAAAAAGATTACGACGATTTGGTAATAATTGTCCAGCCTGTGTTAGCAACACTTGCGAAAAGTGCCAACGACGATATATCGTTGCGCATAAGATGCTGCCGAACTATTCGCGTCGCGGATTATTTACTTACTTTTATTTTTATACTTTTACTCTTTAACCCTATCAAATTACATCGATTTGGATTTTACGCTTACACTGCAAAAAAAGTTTGGTAATACTTACTAAATGCGTTTTACCATATCATTTGGTAAACTAATATAGTAAATGTTACCAAATGTTTGATAATAATCACAAAATTGTTAGTAACATTAGCCAAAGTGCATCACGAAGGGGTGAATTTACTCGACAAGATCTTTCGTTTGAGCTATTGCTCAATATAGGTTATGAGGGGACATTTTTTCTATTGGTTAAATTTTATCGATTATATTAAATATTTTATTTTACTATTGAATACAACTAAATTTACGTGCGGACCAATCATATTGTTCTTTTCCATGTACATACACAAAATCGAACGAATCTATTAGATTCGGGATATATTCGTTTGATTTTGTATATATAAGATTTTTTTATATATACATGCATCTATTAAGAAAATAGATATTTCGCAACTTGCATCCTCTGTGTCGGCTCTTATTGGCTGGTTTTGTTTAGTGATCGTGTAAAATAAATGGCCTTTTGTGAGCTGTTCGATACAACAGTTGACGGGTACTATTAAATTGTAAATAGCAGATATTAATTACATGCAACGGGAATAAATTCTACTTGTCGATTGTCAGTGTCGAGTGTTTCCCCGTGTCGTTGAATATTTGTCGTTATTCAGCAAATACTTGAAATCGCGGAGCTCATCGGGAACGCCTCGGTGATTTTCATTAATAGCGATACTCGCGTATGATCGCGATAATTCACGCTGTTCCTTATCCGCGGAGAAATGAATATTCATTGGAAAATGTTGTTGCTACTCTCCGGTTGCCGCGCTCATTATGCAAAACGCAGACACCGACAGACGCCGTTCCGTATTCGCCGATGTATTTGTATTCCGATGCGCGTAACGACCGCGGCGTTATAATACCGCGCGGGCTAAGCGAGCGTCCAGTAAATATATGAATTAGCGGGCACTCAAGATCCTATTAATCCTCCGACGCCACGGTATTTTCAATTCTGCGGTAAATTAAGCATCCCCCGTCCGCGAGAGGCGTTCCGAGTGGAGAGTGGGAGGCTGGGACGGCGTGTGTTGTTAAGTAGAGCGCGTTACTGCGTTGTGCGCAATTTATGAAAATTGAATAAAGCGAGACGACTGTTCGCGGCGGGCGGCTGTTAGCCCGATGAGTCCACTTGAATTTGTAACGGCGCTAAAAAGCCCCCGGAACGGGCACATAAAGATATTCCGCAAAATACGTCTGGGCGTCGCGGGAGTGTTCTAGAAATCGTATTTTGTACAAGTCGATGAGGTCTCGGCAACGATGGAGCAACGATTGTAGCACTGTTCGCGTCGGGGAATTTTTATCCTCGACCTTTCACCGAGGATAAATACGTTCTTCCGGCGAGAGGGCCGAGCTCCTGATTTTTAACGAAGCTGCCGCAATAAATTCGATTCGGCAAATAAATCTCGAGAACGCGATCCGAACTTTTTCGTGTGAAAAAATTTCGAAGCACGCTCGGCAGGATTTACGATTGTTTTTCCCGTCTTTTTTCTTAATGATGTACGTGCGGTTTCCGCGAAAGCTTCAGATGCAACGCAAGCATTCTCGGGCGGCAACGAGTAAGCATTATCGGCTTAAGAGCGAACACGCGGCTTTTATATTGATTGGCCGGCCAGGTCGATGTTTTAAGGAGGCAGCCTCTCTCCTTCCTCGTCGGTTCATTTGCGTGGAAAATCCTTCTTTTCGTTACACGGGGCGAGTACGATGAGGAAGCAACATATAATGTATAAGTACACGGGAAAGAAGGATTTGTTTGGAAGGTATCTTCATTTTTGACACTTTATCTTTAAATGAGATTACATGGCGTTAGATGAAAATGAGTGACTTGCGAGAATATATTTTACATGATTTTACGAAGAAGAAGCTGTGTTTTTAATAGCGTGAGATATTTCGCAGAAATTGTTACATACAATAATGTCACGTCCTGCAATTCTCGAGGAAAGAAATAAAAGTACGTGTCCGTGCTGTCCCGGTGGAGAAAACGTGCGGGAAAAATAAAAATTGCGAGCGATTCCTCGTCTGCTTTTAGATTCACGAACATGCTCTGCCTATCGATCGGACAGAGTACTTCAGTTTAGATGTCTTTGGTGCAACGCGATCAATATTTATGCAGGGCACAAAATTTCGATTCTGAGGGCTAGACGGCCGGCAGGCTCGGAACCACATGAAAGGAATGCGTGCCGAAGCGACGCGATATGTTTCGCGGATTAGCCCGCGAGTATAAAATTATTCTACAACGCCCTGTAACATGCGATAACGTGACTGATAAATTTGGAGTCACGTCGAAGTGAAAGATATCGTGAACTGTATTTCCCCGCACACAGAGAAATGCATATTACATTTAAATAAATGTTACTTGTTTTTCTAATATTTCATAAGCTCATATCTGTCATAAGTTCACTACAAGTTTCAAATTTATTCAAAATACATTCTGAATCTTAAGAAGTTCGGCATTTTAATCATTAAGTTGAAACAAAAATTCATTTTGCTTACCACGTAGAGTCGAACCAATTCTTTCTTGAATAGAGTTTTGTAATTCGCTTATATAGAGAGAATAAGTTCTTCTTTTGAGCGCATGATAATGAGTTTTTCTGAAATTTGTGTTAAATATATTCCAAGACTGTTATCTGTCTGTATGTAAAAGTTTCTTGTTGAAAATAGCCATTACTTAAAAGAAAAAAAAGTAAACTATCGTTTTTCTTAGCAGTAGAATGATACTTTTCTGTGTGTACAGCAGGACAATGAACCAAAATGTCACGAAATATTTTGGAATCCGTCCAATCAGAAATCTTGTTAACTTAAACAGAATTCAGGTAACTCCAACTGGAATTTCCGCTTCGTTCATATCTCACTAGAAACTTGATTAATCCAAGCAAACCTTTTTTGTCCCTTCGTGCACGAACGAGCGATGTCCGAGCAGGTAGACATGTTCGCGAAAGGCGATGCAGTGAAATGCAATTCTATACGGAGCCGTTGTGAATGAAGAGACGAGAAAGATCGAATTGGTGAATATTCGCACGGGCGATCAATGTGCTCTGTGAAGATGCAGGATGCCCACCGCCTGGAAATGCCTTCCCTCAACCACCCTCCTTTTTCTCTCCCTCCCTACCTCTCTCCATCCCCTTTTCCGAAAGTAATTCCACGAGGACGTAGAGCGCGAGCGTTTGATCGGGAAATAGGAGGAGCACTCACCTTCCACTGGAAGTCGGCCGAGGGATCGCTGAAGAACCACTTCTGGGGCCAGGGTTTTATCGTGCCCTCCGGCGTTTTGAATATCAGACCCTCGAGGCTCAAACCGTGCGCGAGAACGCTAGTGGTGATGTTGCCCTTCTTGTACGAGGCTATGCCCGCCTTCATGAACATCTGCGGTATGGTCTCGTTTTCCCGCAGCTTCAGGGTCACTCGCGGCATCTTCGGCTTCCTGGCTGTGCTCGAGACCGTGGTGCTCTTCGTCGTACTGCTCGAGGACGTTCTCGAGGTCGTCGGGAACGCCGAAGAGGAGGCGCTCGTCGTCGTTGTCGTCGGAGGCAGCAGTGTCGACGAAGAGGAAGTCGTTGCCGACTGATGAACGTTTGTCGACGTTTCTGATGTGCTCGGGGGACGTTGCGTGTTGGTTTCCGGCACGTCTGAAGATATAGCGATGAATTGTACAAGAAGTGTTCGACAGAAATGAGACTACGGGAATGTAAAGAAGTATCGTAAAGAGGGGTTGAGAGGCTGTTCGATTGATAAATTATCTTTTTCAAGGAAAGAAACGTGCACTTATCTACGTTTATTCTACGTGCACTACACTGAGAGAAAAGACTGGTAACTATAACAAACTGCATTTAGTTACAGAAATTCATTGAATCCTTAGTAACTAATACTAAATATGATAATAATTACCAAATATTTAATAGATCGGGAGTATGATCGTAATTGCATTCACAGTCAATTAAATAATTTAGTAATAGTTACTTAATGTTAAATATTTAATATGAAATATATTATGAGCAGATATTTGATAATTGTTATGAAATTGTTATATCCCATGTAATAAAAAATTCAGTAGGTACGAGTTTTATTTTGTTACCAGTATAAGTATGTTTTATTGCAGCACAACGAAAAATTCATTCATTTGCAGCTATTACATCGTTTCAATATCTATTATTACAGATGGTTGGTTGAACCTACCAAAAATTTTGTAACTACTACAAAATCTCTTATTTTGCTCAACTATTCAATAAGTGTTATTTACCAAATATATTCTGGAAGCAAATAAATTTTACTTCTGTCAAATAAATAATTTATTTTACAGAACTAAATTAATTAATAGGTATTGCCATAGCTTTGGCCCGCTATATTTACGTCTACTATTTAGTAATAGTAACCAAATTTTGATAATATTTATTAAATTCTTCTCTCAGTGTACACTGAGAGAAAAATTATCTTAAAATCAACAAATATTTTCTTGATGAGTGCCATTAACATATTTACTTAAATCTACATTCTCTTTACTTAAATCAAATATTGTTTA